GGAACAGCTTCAGGCGCACTAAGCTCCACAGGGGTTGACCCACTGAGGTCATCATCAGGGCGTGCAGGAACAGCTTCAGGCTCGTCAAGATCCACAGGCGAATCCTAGCAGGTTGGCAAGGTAGGAAAAGCGACGTGAGGTTCAGCTCACCTACCAAACACACCTTAAACATCCTTAAACTATTTTTTGGGGGGAAGAACTTAAAAGCCGGCCTCAATCTCCACAGGATCATAGCTGAAGCTTTGAGACGCAAAAGTGTCAACTTCATAGGGCAATGTTTGCATCGTGTCGATAGCCATCATAGAGCCCATAGACTAGGAGTTCTGCGAACCTAAGCTAAGTTTGCGTTGTGGCTGCAAGAAGCCTGAGTCCGAAGAAACAAACGATAAAAGTATTGGAAGGTATTGGACAAAAAAATGCTCAATCAAACCAGATGGCTTTTGTCAATCTCCATGGAGCTCTTCTTTCGAGAGATCGACACTTGCTCCATTTTGCACCTGAGGTTTTGTACAATTAGCGGTGTGTTTTGAACCGACAGTCCAAGGGTCTTATTGAACAGTTTAACAAAACACCATTTGAAGCTCTCCAAGCCTGACAGCTTCCAGCTTTTCCTCAAGCTCCCTTTGACGGCGGGCTTTGGAGGATTCTGCGGCCTTTGGCGGAGGCATTGGCGATGCACTGTCCGGAAGCCCAACTTGCTTTGCTTCAAAAGCTTGCGACGCGGCATCCCCTTCAGGTAGACTAGGGCTATACTCTTGGTATAGCTGAGTACTTTCCACATTCGGTGAGCGCACTCCATGCGCCAACTCATAGCAAGTCACCTGGGAGTCTTCAAAGTGTTCATGTTGAGAGTCCTCAACTTCAACCACTTCTTCTTTTGGTTCATCATCAGGCTCAGTGGTGGCCTCACTCTCAATGTTCTCTCCATCATCCACCCTCCCATCTTCAATGGCCAGTGGGTTGGGGCCATCGTCCGGTTCATCCAGGTTTGCTGGAGCTGCGGGGTTTGCTGTCCAGGCTGCATCAAACACATCCCAAATGGGAAGGAGGCTGTCATCCTTAGTAGGAGGCTCATGAACAAAGCGCAAAGGTAGTTTGCGTGCAACTCCATACATACTTCTAGACTTCTAGACAATTAAGAAGGGAACACATACATGAATTAGTTTCCAAGATTTTCCAAGCATCCCGTGGTGTTGATGCACCAGTCAGCCATCTTCTCAAAAGATGGGTGAACATCCGTTTCGTTCCCCATGCATCCAGGTTGGACATGGTGGCGTCCTCCTCCAGCACCAGTAGTTCACGCAGGCGTGCCACCTGACACAGAGACGGCACAGAAACAGGTCTTGGGGGAAGTGGTGAAAAATAGCCCTCATTAAAGACCCCTTCCAACAAAAAGTCTTTTTTGGTCTGGGGTCTAGAGACTTGATACCGCAGTTCATTGATCGGTATGGCCGCTGGCTGGTCTGATCGCTCAACCCACCATAGTGCTGTAAGGTGAAGCAAGCGAGAATTCATGCTACAGGCCTTCATGCTTGCAACACCTGTGGCTTGCACGCTTGGCCAAATGGTAATGCGATTGTTCTGCCTTCCACGTGAACGTACGATAGCTTCCTGCTCCCATTGTTCAGCCAGGCTTTTAGAGGCCATGGCTGTGCTCCCAAGTTCGAAGGAATCCCAAAAGTGGTTCAAGACTTGAACATACAAAGGCTCTGTTCGATTCACACAAATTCAGTCAACCTGTTGTTGGTTTTACACATGTGACACTGTAAGTCCCTTTCATTAGAAACTGTCCCAGTCCTTCTGTTGGTCTTTGCCATCAGAAACCTTGATCATCCATCGCAATACCTGCCGAGGCTTGAAGTGGCAAACCAGACACAGGGCCTTGGAAAAAAAGGGGCGCACTCCACGTGACAGGAAGTAAGGCCGCAAAGGCTGCATCGTGCTGAGCCAAACCCAGCTAATGGTGCCAGGATTCACCAAAGTCTTAAAAAACAAAAATCATATGAAAGCGATAATTATAGCTCGTGATGGAAAAGAATGTTTTTTTTTGAAAGAGCATTATTTTTACGTATGTTCGAGGTCGTAGGTATACTGACTATACAGTTCTGGCCAGAATTCATCTAATCAGTATAGTACAGTCTAGTCGTAGTATAGTCAAGACTATAATTCCACTACAGTCTATAGCCACTACAGTTGAGGCCAGACTATACTGACTATGGAGTCTATCAATCAGAATTCATCTAATCAGCCCAGGCCAGTGGAATTAGAACGCTAAACCAGCAGACCTGATCATCCTCAATGCCCCGGGCCCACAGCACTCTGTGAAGAAAACCCGAGCTTTGCAGTCATTCCAAACACACAAACTGGCTACTGTCCATCTATGGCAACTACTCCGCTAGCAAGTCGTACTATTTAAACTACCAAAGCAGCTGAACCGTCGACATGTTTGATTGGCCTCCCACCACTCCGTGCCCTTCTCCCACCTTCCCGGCAGCTCCGGCAAGGCCGCCGAAGGGCCCCGAAAAACAACGCCGTATTTGACCAAGTACGAGCGTCGCTCGGGCAGAGATCTGGCGAGAGCAGGGAGAGGACGACGTAGACCGGGGGAAGTAGCGGCGCCAGCTACTAGTTTGCGGGTCTTGCTGTGCGTTTTCTTCCTGATAGAGCCCGTTTTGGATGAGCTGGTGCAGAAATGCAAGTCTAAACTGTTGCGGCATCACTTGCAGATGGCGCTGCTGCTGTGTTTGCTGCTGCTGTGTTTGCTGCTACTGCTGCTGCTGGTGTGCTGCTGGCTTGGTGCTGTTTCTGTTGCTGGTGTGCTGCTGCGTTTGCTTTTTCTGATGCTGGGCTGCTTCTGGTGTGCTGCAGGTCTACTGGTGTAGTAGTGCTGCTTGCTTGTTTGCTGGAAGCATTCTTGCCGCTTGCTTCGGGCAATGACTGTGTAGACCTTGGTCACCGGCAAGCTTTTGGTGTGTAGCACCTTGGTCAACAGCTGCCTGCTGTAACTTGTCCACATGAGCAATGCCACTTCCACCCACTTCCTTATAAGGGCTGTAAGGGTCTGGACCGCTCTCTAGCACGGCTCACTTCGCTTTCAGGAGACGTCTGTGTAACGGTGTTGACAGAGGGGCCAGGCATGGGCGCTGTTGGGGGCCGCCACGCACATCGATGGGCTGGGTAGGAAAACAGTGACTTCGGTGCCATTTTCTTTGTGCCTTAGCGTGGAAACGGCAACGGCGGGCGAGAGTGGCCACGTTCGGCCCAATGGGTTTGACGTGCTGCAACGACCTGTGCCAAGCAGGCCAGCTTGCCTGATGTTTGACTTGCGTCAGCTGTGCAGCGTGCAGGAGGACCAAGACTCAGCTGTCCAATGAAACTGCGAAAAGACAATGCTGCAGTTCCCGTTGATGGAGAGTCGAACGCTTTGATCTAGCCGCTATGAGGGTGCTACTGGGCCAAGTGTTTCCTTTGAGTGGAACCTTGAACCTATTCCTTGAAAAGGTTGCTGCCAGCTGGTCAACAACAAACTGGCGACTTCGTGCCGTTCTGGTTGTTTCTTCAAGAGGAACAACGGGCGCCCAAAGACTCCCACAATGGAGGAACGACGAACCCAAAGGCCCACCACTTGAAGAAGAGGAGCCCTGTTTAACACAACACCCTTTCCCACAAAGGAATATATAGTAGACTTCCAGAGGCTGCACTTGTTCCTTATATGTGTTCCTTTCTATCATTCCTTCTTTCCTTCTTTCCTTCCTTCTTTTCCTTCCTTCCTTCCTTCCTTCCTTCCTTCCTTCCTTCCTTCCTTCCTT